TTCAATTATTTTGTTGACATGGGAATGCAACGAACAATCCTCATGAAAATTCAAACCAAGGTGTTTATAGCTTTCTACTTCTGAAATTATATTGTCATTCATATAAAGATGTAGAATGCTGGGGTTTTACTGATTTTTATTAGAAACTGTCATAGCTTCAGTCTTTTTTGCATTGAAGTTCACTAGCCATTGGATTGACCAATTGTTGATAGTCTCTATGTCAGAATTCAGTTTGCTCGCTGCTTATATTCTATGTCGCATACAATGTCATTTATATATACTAAGAAAAGTAAGGGTCATATTATCGATCCGTGAAGGACGCAAGTATTTACACTAAAAGTATCTGAGGATTGACCTGAAATAACAACTTTTTGTTTCCGATTTGACAAATAGCTCATAAACCACTTTAATATGTTTCCTTTTATACAAATATTTCTAAGTTTATAAATAAGACTTTTCCTGAGTCAAGAGCTTACCAAATAAATCTGATATTTGTAAAAGTTGGTTAATTGTAGAATCTCCAGGCATGAAACCTGACATGGCACTTATTAGATTATGTTTTGTCAAATAAAGAAATGCTTAAAAACACAACGTTCCACACTCTTACCAATGATAGACAAAGGTGCTATTTGCCTAGTTTGACAACAGTTCCCTATCATCACTTTTGAATACTTGTATAACGCTCGCTAATTTCCAGTTTTCAGAATAAACAGCTTCCCGAAAAGCTGAGCCAGGGGCCTACTTAACTCCCGAGCAGCATACTTCAGTAAACTACCACTAATTTCATCAGGGCCCGTCGCTTTAGTGACATCTAGCGTAGACAAGTGATCAAAAACTACCTCTTCGGTTACTATGGTATTGTTTAAGATTGGTATATCATCAGACATGGGGTATTAGGAAAAGACGCTTCAGAATCATCCACAGTCGCTTGCTTACAAAATAAGAAATTAAATGCATTTGCTTTTTCATTATCGTCTTCTATATATATTCATTATTTACTAACAGAGGGGGGGGGGGGTAATTTGATGCTTTCGAAGGCTGCCCAGATATGTTGCACTAAAGCTTCCACAAATTCTTTACATTTGTTTCTGGATTCTCTAATATATTTACTTCAAGTTTTGTTGAAAAAGTGAAGCTGTTTTGATTAAATTTATTCACTGATTCCTAACATATCGAAATTGCCGCAAAAAATCAGCGGTATTCTTCTTTTTTGCCATTTTATGAAGTCTTTTTCGACGCCGAATTAGATTCTTTATTATGACCAGTTAGCCATGGCGGGTCTTGAGATTTAACTTTCACAAATTTACAAGGTATATGTTTTGCAGCTGTTTTTAATATAGTTTCTGTAATGTTTGTCACGGCAACATTTTCGTCATTATTGTCAATAGTATTATCCAAATTGAATTCACTTAGATCATTTTTGTAATCAGTCAAGTCTGCATGATCATAATCCCAAATCTTCCTACATAAAACTTTATTTGGTGTTTTTTAATGTTTATGATGCCACTTACAGGGCAGTGATATCTTACGTTAGGTTCCAAAATGTTATCTCCAACTTCAGTGTATAAAAGTATGTCAGGGTCATTTAATAAAATTAAATCCAGTAAAGATGAACTGGTTTCGCCAAAAAATGTGGGATTTCCATTGCTTGATTAAGACCGTTTTGCAAGATAATATTTGTAAGTTTTGTGTTACGAAAATTCAACAGATTTTCGTTGAAATCGCCCGTTACTACTATTTATCAATACCCGAATTGAAAGCATTTTCTATTGACAAATTCCATATTATCCCAGTATTGCGCATTAGAGTCAGGGGCGTGTAAAATACTCCAAACAGACATTTACATTTTTTGTGTAAATTTCTACCCAAAGACACACAAGATGTTGTTTTTCAAGATCATGACGTCGTTTACTTGGTATATTTTCTTTAACATAAAATGGGACCCCACAATCTATTTTTTCTCCATCCCGATCCTTTCGATACGGAGTCTTAAAATTAGATAATTTTAATTGGCTATCATGTTTCGGTAATTCAGATAAGGTCCCTGTCCCCCAGCTCAGCTCCAACTATTGATTTTTTTAGGGAGAAGACTTCGTATGTTTAAGCATGAAAAAGTCAAAAGATTTTTATAACGACAAAAAATCCAACATATCAATTGAACTATCATTATGCAAGCAGTTATCTGGTGAGTCGAATGTTGGGCCTGGATTTAGTTCGATATCACCTGCCGTATAAATGATAAGAAATATATATAAAGATAGTTGACAAATCACTTGGCAAGTGTCATAAATATATTCATATCTACCCAATAAAGGAATTGTTTTTATTTTGTTTTCTAAAAACCTCCTGGTACTTATTACATACGAATTCAAATTTGAGAGCAAACATGTAGAACAACTTCGATTTTCAAAATTTGTTTGTTATTAAAAGTATAAAAATATTGTAAGAGCCTTTGTGCCAATTTGAACAAGCAGATTAACTAATATAAGGTATCTAAGTCGATCGATTGAGACATTCGAGTAGACCTGACATAGTGTAGCCCAACACGTACCCTATATGTTTTTAGGTCACTTCCCATTGTTTACATTTCGTAAGGATAAATATGGTTCAAGACAGAACACATGTTGGGAGCACTACAATAATATTTTAATGGCAAACAAATTATAAGTTTAACACTGATTCACATAACCGATGCCGTGACAACAAAAAGAAAACAAATAAACTGTAAGTAACAAAAATGTAATTATATATACAAAGTTCAGAATTTTCTTTGGGAGTTCTACCCATGACAGGAAAATGAAGAATACGCAAATTATAATATGCAGGGTAAACAAATATAGGTGCACATTAATTCTAATTGGCCTTATCAAAAGGAAGAGTAAACCTTAATTTGTAATGACTGATTGACTAGTGATTATCGTTTAGAAACGACCATCTCAAACAGCCACTCCCAAAACCAACCACCCGCTCATCCACCTTTACACGCAAACACACACAACTCGTTCTCACAGAACCCCGCACTTAATATAAAATGAGAATAAGATTGATTTGATTTTGAAATATCTGATTAGTATTCCCATACGCCATTTTACAAAGGACTGTCGAAAATATTTCACAGTTTGGGGCTATTCCCACAATGTCTTCCTGGTTAATGCTATCTAGTAAAGCAATAACAAACAACTTAAGGTAAACACAAACCCATGTTCGATAAAACTTACCACAACAGCTGACATGATGCGTTTTTCCACAAATGCTTGAAAAACAATGAACGAAGTTTTATACCCGAGTTTTCCCTATTAACCCTGGAATCACCCCATGTTGTATGACATGAGCCGAACCTGTTGAATGCTTTTTCATATGTTTTAAGTCGAATTGAAATTATGAGACCTGGAACCTTACGTGAGGAGAAATTCTCACTATAGTAGGACATTTCCCAGATGAGGGGTCTGTAGAAGCTAAACTTATATTTGCTTGAGAGCAACAAAAACAGAGGCATGGGGATTTGACCCGAAGACAAAGGTACATCAGGTAGTACATGTAGGTATAAAATTGAAAGGAAAGGGGATTACCATTTGATTTTGGGGAGGAGGATTTTGAAAATGAATATCGTATTCACTGAATAAAATAAGCAACATTCAAAGGATGTAAGTGGTTGTCTTTAGTTGTGTTTAACGGTTTTATCCCTTAGAAAATTTAGCGTTTGTGGGAAATCTTTGATACTTTCTGTTAAAGTTATTCACCAACAATTCCAGAGTGTTCAATTTATAGATTGACATATTTTATAGACACTTCTCTGTTCGGAAGACTCTAGTTTTACGTCAGAATAGTTTTTGGTTTTTTTTTCTGTGTCAATGGGTTCTCGTTTTGAAAATAAGTACATGTATTTATTCAATAATTTGTCACATTTCAGAGGAGACTTTTTACGTATTTTATTACATCATTTTCTACGTAAACTGTGCTGTATAATGTCGACAATATTAGACGCCTTTATGTCATTGGAATGAAAACTTAAATAAGAATTATATCGAAATCAAATCCAGTGCAAGCTGGACATATTTCCTATTTCACTTAAAGTTTTATCGCGAGGTTGATGCCTCCACTGATTAACTGGTTCGTTTCATTAAAAGATTAGGTTAAAACTTTGTCAGTCATATTTTGATTTTAGATGATATTTGATTTTTATTTTAGGTTTTTTTTAATTTTTGATCCACGGAATGTTAAACTTCTCATGTGTCACTTATAATTATGGAACACAATCTGCTACCCTTCCGGAGCACATTGGATCAACATTGGTTTTTGTTGTTGTTGGTGTTGCTCGGCCTTAATTGTCTACGCAATGTTTTTTTGGACTTGAATGTCTTTTCGTCGTTCTTTACACGACGTTGTCAGTTTCTCTTTGACTTATAAATTTTGAATATACCCTTGGTGTCTTTCGCTTCTTTTTGCTCTTCTCAAGTATTGCAAAAACTTTGGCTATCCCTCTTTTTGACTGTAGACTTTCCGGATGAAGGTTTATCCAGATATTCGTACCAAACTCAGCTTAATTTGATGAGATGCAGTATATCTTTTACTTTTTACTGGCTATATCAACTGGCTGCCTGGAGTTCCCATTCCTCGAATACATTGTAACTATCTTAATGTAAAAACCGTGGTTTGCCATTAAAATAATTCTCGTTCGTCAGAGCGAAAGACTTCTTATACATTAAGCTTTGAGTAAGTGCTCCTGATCAATGATCGTTCTTCGTAAAGATCAGCTTTAAGTTTTCAGGCTACGCATTAAATTTTATACTTTGATTTTGTTTTATAAAGAAACACAGCAACTATAATGTTAAGGCTGAACAGTATGTCATGATCGTTAATAGCTTGTTTAAGGAAAGATAATAATCATAACTATTTATGTTGTATAAGTAGAGAATCGAAATAACAACAATAACAGATTGAAACTTTGTATTTCATAGACAATTAAAACACTTTTCACCCATCTATTAATGAATTTAGCTTCAATGTGAATTGCATTCTTTCCATATCCATTCATCTGAATAATCGCAGTAGAACTCTATAAAGATGTTTGATTCTCTTTCAACTGGAGTGAATTTGCCCTGAAATTGCCAGATCGATAATACAGCATCCCCAAAGTCGTTTCCATACATCAATGGACTATCTTTAGTTACTTTAATAGCTCCAGAGCAAGGAACATAGTAAGGTTGATTATCTATCCATTTACGGCATGTCGGTTTACACAATCGTCCGCATGCGTCAGAGGCAGTTATCAATGCTTCTGTTGGCTTATACGCCGTAGGTTTTTCAACAGCGATGTATCCGATATGAGAGGATACAGGAAGTCTGTTGTCAACAAATACATAATCAGTGTATACACCAAAGTAGTTTAGTCCTGAAGACTTCATTCTCACTTTGAACGCACCAGATTCGTCTTCTTGGCAATCATAGTATGTAGCTGGATTACCTGGATGCACAAAATTTTTCAGATTACTATATTTGTGTTCGTCATAAATATCATATTTGTTTCGATATCCGTTAACTTCAGTCTGTGAATTAAAATGAACCTCTTTTGGGCGTAGATGAACGACTTTAATTGGTATAAAGGCCCATCTTTTCACATCAGCTGATGAGCAACCTGCAATAAAGTTATTCTGTATTGGTTTCCCCATACATGGTTCCCGCTCTTGAGGAATGTAAATATTTGTTACCTCCGTTGACTTAACTGTAAAAGTATTAGAAATAGTTGTATGGTGACCACTAGTGTCTCTTTTGCCTCTGTTACCTCTCATTCCGTTATTCAAAGGAATCTGGACATCTCCACCATTAGCTGCAAGAATAAGAGGTTGTACTCTATTTCTAAATATTCTGTCAACAGCAGTACATCCAAACAACTGTCTGCCAAAACTTCGACATTGCAAATCAGGTGATCCACAATTAACGTGATGTTCCGAACAGGTAGGGGAAACCTGGTAAGAGCATTGGGATGCTAACTCATGACTATATCCATCATGGTTTGTGGGAACACGTCCAAGAAAATTTATAACTGGCATATTTGTCATTTGAACTTCTGCCTGTTGTCCTCCATGGTTAGGTTTATGAGGGTATGCAGTGTTATATCCATGCGCATATCTCCATAACTCCCAAACATAATCTATATAAGTATGATAGAACCAAAAGACACAATCCCATGGCGCTAATTCAAGTCCTAACATTGTTCCGCCGATATAAGCATGTACATTGTCATGGAGCGATTCCAAAGTGTCGAAGTTGGAGTTTTCAACTAAATCCTCAATTGTTGGTATATTTATAATGTAGGTTAAATTGGTTCCTGTGAATAATGACCCATCATTGCCACCATTTCTGATTATTCTATTGCCTCTAAGATCCCTAATTCCACCACAAATACCAGTGTCGACGAATCCATTCAGTTCACCAAGGTATTCATCAGTCCAGAGTATAGAATTTTCGGGCCTATCCATATTAGCTTCAAAAGTCGTGTCCCAATACGGGAGTGTTACTCCAGGTTCATATTTTTGTAAAACTAGTTCTAGTCTGGAAAGCAATTTTAAAGAAAAAAAAATATATGAATAATAATGACATGTGTGCAATTAAAATCATTGCAATTAAAAAAATTCAAGTAAAAATCGTAGGATTTGGAGGTAGATTTTCATACTATATTATGATATCAAAGTATTTTAATATCATTAAGACTGTTCTGCAATACAACTAACTTTATGTATTTTTTTACTGCACCAATTGCGCCTTTCGTCAATAAACGTCTCTTAGGTGATGATCTAGGTAGAAAGCACTTGAAAACCTAATACGAACTTTGAAGACCTGATAAAACCAAAATACATACTAAAGAAGGTAGTTAATTAAAAGGACTTATTTACTTATTCATGAATATGTAAATATACAAATGAGATAAAATAAAGGATTAGAAAGAAGTGTTATTTTTTTGGACGTATATAACGCCTGAAGTTAACAAAATACATACAACAACGAGACCTTGGTGTTGCTAGTTTGTTTAGAATAGAGAATTGAGACGGGAAATGTGTCAAAGAGACAACAACCCGAACAAAGAGCAGAAAACACCCAAGGCCACCAATGGGTCTTCAACGCAGCGAGGGAATCTTGCACCAAGAGGCGGCTTCAGTTGACCCCTTAACAATAATGTGTACTAGTTCAGCAAAATGGACGCCACACTAAACTCCGAAACATATGAATGAATCAAAATTTTAAAAACACAAAAGACTAACAATGGCTAGAGGTTCCTGACATGGGACAGGCACAAAAATGCGTCAGGGTTTAACATGTTTTGTGAGATCTTAGCCATCTCCCTATACCTCTAGCTAAAGTCGAATAAACACACACACAGCAAAACGCACAGTAAATTTGAGTTCAAAAGAAATCCGGATCTAGTGTGTATGTTTATTCTGAATTTATTCGACTGTAGTTCATATGCCATATGGTGAAGTTGTATATTGGAAAATTGAATCTGCTTTTTTATGTTTTCTACTGTTCTTATCAAAGTGTTAAAAGAAGAATTGTATACAATTTATGTTAAATTCCTTATTTATATTTGTGTACTTTATTTGCATTTATATATTTGTTTTTAAGTGTTTTTATATGTATATTTATGATGTCAAAATTAAACAGGTTGTTTTTTGTTGAACAAATATTTTCTTATACTGATAGTTTTTTTTCCATTGAAACTCGAAACAAAACATTTTCAACTAGGTCGGAATATATTTTCCGAGCATATGTAGGAGCTGAAAAATGCTGTTTTTATTTTTATAAATGGTTATCAACTTTTGCTTCCCGTCGAAATAAATACATAGTGCATCGAAATTAAGATTTAAACTGCTTGACTCCATGATCGTTTACCCTTAAACTGCGATTAAGATATTGTGCAATGCCAAATATTTTCAAAAAATGAAAGGGGTACATAAGATTCGACGACTCTTTTACAAATATAAAAGTTTTCAATATGCCACCTCAGAATGACTTATATGGATGCTTGTAAAGTGTATACACATCTTTGTGAAGAATGTCGCTTAAAATAGAAAGAAAACAAATATTTTTAAAATTATCATGTTAAGTGTATTCGTATATAGAAGCCATATGATAATTCAAATTTTGAAATAATCAATATGTTTTGAATACTTCAATGGCTATGTTTTACTATAAAACACGTGTACATTAACTTTCTTCAAGAAAATCCTTTATCCCATCAAAATCTTTAGAAATGTACTGCTACTGAATTATTGGCTTCCTGTACCCTAATCCGCCGATAGCTTTTTAATATGCAGTGACCTTAACCACGACACCTCTCGTTAGTACTTCTGCAACCGCAAAGCGCAAGTGCGAGGGAACATTAATGAAAGTTAGATAGGGTTAATTGATTATGAAACAAAAATCATTTAGCAGCTGTTATGACAAAGTTTCTTTAACACAAAACGAAACACATGTAAAAATTAAAGAAACAAAAATAAGCATGGCTCTATTGCATGTCTATCGTCTCACTTATTTTTCACGTGCTCCATGATTCTGTGTTGATTGTTTATTAGTGTCGTGTTCGGTAAACTTCGGCATTAAAACACGAAAGTTAAATAGCAGGCAAAGTGTTGACTGAACGATATTTTTTTTTCTCTCAATTATATGTTATGGATTCGTTATAAATGTAAAACATCGTGCATAGAGGACTTAGTTTAGTATATATACATGAGATTGTTTCAATATTCTCTTAACATTATAATTTCAATAAAATCGTTTAATATGACTTTAACTTTATTTTTGTTTTATGATATTTCACATCAAAAGGTTAACTTTATTTTTGTTTTGTTATTTTTCACAAAAAGAGGTTAAACATATTTCATTTAAAGTTTCGATACAATTTTTACTGCCAACGAATTGTGACAATTCAAAATACGATATGTGTCACCCGTAGCAAATAACAAATTTCACAATCTTGAATGATTTTATAATTATTTTGCGATTTTGCGATTTCAAAATATCTACCATTACTATAACAACTTTAACGGTACCAATTTTACCGCACATTTCGACAAGTTATGTCTATTTAGTGATGCGCGAGGCCAAAATATTTGAAAGTCGAAAACCTAATAAAATCGTTGAAGAACTGATCGAACCAAAAAGAACAAGGAATCCAATATGTCTTTAAAACATAATAACTTTATTTTCGTTTTATTCGTGACAAATAAGATGCAACAGTAATATACCATTTAGCTTAACTCGTAGTAGTTGGAATATGCCAAAAAAGAAAAGCAAAACACCTGAGTCAATCGCATAAACTCCAGACGGAACGACACCGAATGAGTTGATAAGGAAGGCGTCTCACCCAATACATGCATCACGCATTTTTGCGCCTGTCCCAAGTCAGGAGCCTCTGGCCTTTGTTAGTCTAGTATGTTTTTTAATTTTAGTTCATTTTTATGTTTTGGAGTTTAGTGTGACGTCTATTTTCACTGAACTAGCACACAATTTTATTTAGGGGCCAGCCTGAGGACCACCTCCGGGTGCGGGATTTTCTCGCTGCATTGAAGACCCATTGGTGGCCTTCGGCTGTAGTCTGCTCTTTGGTCGGGTTGTTGTCTCTTTGACATATTCCCCATTTCCATTCTCAATTTTATCACCGCCATACGAGTTGACAAAGAAGGCATGTCCTTCAGTGCATGCATCACCGCCATACGACTATAGATAAACGACGTGGAATGTGACACATTTGTTAAAATTTCTATTTTGGTGTGTTAAGAACTTACACCTCGAAAACATGTCTTGTGAGTTCAGACAGACACGTCGTATTGGTCAACCAATTTGTGATGCAACCATAAAGATTTTGTTGCGTCGATTGCAGTCGTTCTTTGCTTTGCAGCAGTTTTTATGTTAGAATCACAATCATGTGGATGAAATCCGTTCAATGTGATCATGGACGCGCATCACCTTCAAAGTCCGAAATATAGATGTGGATACTAAAAAATCCAGATATGTTTCTTCCCCAATGCAATAAAATGAAACATTCGACTTTTATGCCCTAAACACTAGTCATCCTTACCTTTAAGAAAGATTGAAAGAGTAAGTCCAACTCTGTTTAATGAAAAAAGGGTGGCCAAATATTCAAATATCTTGATTTAGGAAGGGATAAATCATACTTTGTATATCCCATTTTGATTCAAGCAAAACGTTCTCCGAAGCTGAACATTAAGATACTAGATTTTTTATTGATAACATGTTTGTTATGTCCCGATGGGCATTTTACACTAGTCATTTTTGGGCTCTTTATAGCTTGCTGTTCGGTGTGAGCCAAGGCTCTGTGTTGAAGGCCGTACTTTGACCTATAATGGTTTTTCTTTTACAAATTGTGACTAAGATAGAGAGTTGTCTCATTGTCACTCATACCACCTCTTCTAATATCTATTTATTCAACAAACAATCGGCATTAATATGGAAACAAAGTGTTCTCCTCTTCTTGCCGACTTGTTCCTTTATTCATATGATGCCTTATGCAAAGCTCTGATTTCTTGCCCGGCTTTGGCTATACTTTTTTGCCTCAAGATAAGGTAAGATGTATACCGAAGTATACCTAATCATATTCTCTCATTAAAGACAAAAAAAATGTGAAGCAAATTTTCCATGTACAATGAGTGTTGAAAATTTCAAACTTTCGGCAAACAGGAAGTGAATGCACTGCTGATGTAAAAGTTTGACACAAATTTTCCTTGTACAATGAGTGTTGTAAAATTTTAAACGATCGGCAAACAGGAAGTGGATGAACGACGGATGTAAAAATTGATTACTTGCTACAGCTCAACATTATCAAGCTGAAGACCATATATTAAATCATGCCCTTTCGTAGGTGCCAAGAAAACTTTGACGGACGGATGGACGGACTCGAGCAGTTAATGGACCTGTTTTTGGCTTCGGCAACGCAGGTAAAGAGCGATGATAGCTGTCATGTTTGGAAAGGGACATCCGTTAATATGTGAATAATTTCAACAGACAACTAAATATATAAAACCAACAAAAACATTTCAAAAACATTTCAAAAGCAAAAAATGTAAAGATATCAAAACGCACCAACGAAATTTCAGACTTGCAACATACAAACAAATTTATTATTATAAATATTTCGGTGCTTTGTGTCTATTGTATTTATGTTAGTTGTTTTTGTGCCTCGTACCGATCAAAATATATACATAAAACTTATCACTTATAAATAAATAAATAAATAATCATATTTACTTGTGTTTACCTTAATTTACCTTTGTACACCTGTAAAAATGAATGCAAATAACTTGATATTACACGAAAATGTAATGCACCGCAATTTGGTTGTAAAGAAATATTAGTATGTTATGATTACATAAGAAGCAGGAATCGATGATATCCAGGAAAAGCTGGTCCGTTGTGACTGGTAGTTCGGACGTTTTCGTTGTGAAATCTAGCGACCAATCCAAAATCCTGAAAATAAAAAATATACATCACTATTGAGAAAACTGTGGCGTTTATTAAATGTAGAAAGTGTACAATATCATTCTATTTGCATTTGAAACTGTTTGTTGTTTTTTTTTTTTCATATATATATATATATAAATCACACTAAACGTCATGTCCTTGTATCTACATTGCATTCGTTTTCAACCTTCGACAAATTACTAGCCGATGTCCCTTGTTCTTTCCATGCTTAATGTTGAGGAACATCATTTCAACTGCTATGAGGAGTCATAGTCATGTCCCGTTAAATAAAAATTCGAATTATATTCGAATTTAACTCACCTATTTTTTTTAATAAACTGCATTGCCGTTGCTTGAGATCAATAATTAAAGATACAAATTCACATTAAGGATGTAGTCATGTCAAGTTTAGGATTTTTTGTCAGATGTTCGGACTCCTTAGGTTTTTCCTACGATATAGGGTAAAATATTTTGTCCAATATCACCCACATTTCTTTTTATAAAAGACTTCAATAGCTCATAAAAGGTCATTACCAAAATTTAAGCAGATTCTAGATTTTTCTTTTTACGATTTGAGACCCGAATAATGCCAATGCTAAATATAAAGTAAAAATAAGAATAAGAGGATGTGGTATGAATGCCAATGAGACACTTCTCCACAAGAGACCAAATGACACAGAAATTAACAACTACATGTATAGGTCACCGTACGGCTTTCAACAATGAGTAAAACCTATACCGCATAGTAAGCTATAAAAGGCCCCGAAATGACAAATGTTAAACAATTCAAACGAAAAAACGAACGGCCTGATTTATGTACAAAATAATTAACGAAAAACAAATATGATATACAGCAACAAACGACAACCATTGAATTACAGGCTCCTGACTTGGGACAGGCACATACAGAATGTGGCGGGTTTAAACTAGTTAGAAGGCGCGCCAACCCACACCTCTTCCTAACATTGGAGTCTGAGTCATCCTTTTCCCGCCTTTTTTTAAAAATCAAATTTCTCGAAAAGGAGTTCCATAACCTATCAATATTTTTAACTTATTTTGTTCCTTAACTAATGCTCTTCTGATTTATAGTATCAATTCTAATTTCAGCTGACTACATCCTTAAGAACGAACAAAAACTAAACTAATCTTGACATGTTAGTGCAGAAACGTCAGTTGTGATGACACTGTGACACTAAATTGACTTATAATCAGTAAGAGCCGATGGAGATTCGTTTTAACAAAGTAGTCACAATATGATGTTTGCAGAACTCATATTTAATTACAAAATATAAACCAATACCCCATTCAATGCGCACATGTTACAAAATATAAACCAATACCCCATTCAATGCGCACATGTGTTTGGAACCAACTACATCGGATACTTTCGATTTAAAAAAGGCAAGATACCATTAACCAATGGGGCGTAAAAATATTCGATAAATAGTCTAAGGGAAAAGATAAAAAAGATTAACATTTGGTATCTGGTGGAAATTTGTCTTATTAGACATTTTCGAAAACCATATCGACACTGACGCTTACACCTATGCCTAGGACGACAGGTAACCTTTTAAAGTGGGGTCATCTCAAGGTGTACAATGAGCACAGGTATTTATAAAAAAAATATATATATAATTTACACTTTACATATTGTATAAAAAAATATTTTCAATGATTTGTTGATTTATTGGCTTTGGTTTGAAGCTGAGAATTGACCGATCTTCATATTATAATTTAAAAAAAGGGGGCTTGGCTTTGCGTAAATTAGTAGAACTTTCCTCAGAAAGTCAGGATTCTACTTCGTCAAAATCATCTCTCAATAACGCCGATTAATTTTTTCAATCGTGAAAATGGAAGCCATTGTAGGGATGACCCGCGCTGTCAACTTAGCTCTTGAAAACCGATAAATTTATCCACTTGGCATAATTACGATCCTTACATGACAGTTGTGTTTTTTTAAACAAATGTATCTACTAGCTATAAAGCATCTCATGTACTTTTAGGCCTTTTGTCAACTAAAAACTTTTGTCTGAATGGTTGTCAGGGGGAAATTTTGAAAGTTAATAAAAACATTAAAAATTCTATTTAAGTATTATGTGGAAGCAGGGACTTTCTATACTAACGGGACTGGTCACTTATAACGATGTCTATACAAATTATCAGACTGATCTCGGCCGTAGCTGATGTCACGTGACTTTATAGCAAATCATTTCACATTTACGAAGAGTTCTTCATAACTATATGTTCAAGTTAAACAAAAAATCGTTTTCATGAAATTTTATACATTTTTTCATTGCAAAATGCTGTTTTTTAAAAGATTTCTCGGATCGTTATTTAAATATTGATCTTTGAACTTTGAGGTATTTTTGTTTGTTGAATTTTCAGTAGCCGCCATCTTGTTTGATATGTAAACCATTGGTGTGTTCTTCAAAACGATACGTCTAAGTTTAATAATTCATCATTCTTTCAAAATCTGATATTTTTTGTCATCGTAAATGGCTATTAATCAGATTTTATATTAACAACTAATAATAATTAATTTATATAATTAAAATGTACTGTGAAATACGCAAATAACTACTAGCATCGTATATCAGAGATACGAAACTAAGTTAATTGTTGGGTGGTAGCTTTACACAGGCGGCTTAGTAATCAGTTAAAATCAATAGAGACGAGTCCCGTAAGTATAGAAAGTCCCTGGTGGAAGGGCAGACTAAACATTTGCAGAGGTTGCAGAATAATTAACCTAGATTACACACACAATTTGTTTTCCAGTTATGCATTTTTAAGATCCACTAATAAAGTCATGGACTTTTTGTATAAATCCAAGGAGGAGTTAGTGAACAACATTTGTCCCACTTTTTTTTATACATTTCATAAATAAAATATTTAATATGCCTAAATTTTTCACTAAAAAATGAGTGAACGAAAGTAAAACAAAATACAACTAAGAAATACACTTCCAGTTTAAACATTTGAAATAGTACAAAGCTTTTCTTATGTTATTCAAACACACCTATTCTGTTGTTATGACACATTAGAAAGGTAATTCACTTGACCCATATATTTCCCGTTTTGGTACTGTGAATGTGTAATGTTATTATATCAAAATGTAGCCTAAATATAAAAAACAATAATTCTTCTTATTTTTATACAAGTGAAAAATTTACGTAAAACTTACTCCTGCGTCGTAGGCCATTCTCCATGCTCTGCTTAATCGCTGCCTTTCTCCACGTGTTAACATTCTTATTTCTTTCCGAAATTGAACATTTCTAGCTTGCCTTTTTTTCCGTTTCTTTGATGTTTCTTCACATAACAGTTTTCCAAATAAGTTGCTGATATCCGATATGGTTATATTATCATTGGGGTGGTCACATTTTTGCAAGTTCGGTCCTGTCATCCACAAATATCTGGAAACACAAGTATTACAAACAGACTCGCTGGGCGATTTTGTAACATCTTGATATTTAGTTTTCATTCTCAAACAATCTCGTAAAGATGGCGGCAATTCAATCTCTTCTATTAAGCATCTCCCAACACTGGCATAATTCAATAACAACAAAATACATATACACAGCATGGCATTTACTGATGATAATTTTTTTTCTTGGTCCTGTTTTTTGTTTGCGTGTTTTCCTTGGACTTAAAACTTTTGATAAAGAAGCATACAGAAACTATTTTCAAAGACAAGAATAAAATAAAATGCTGTACCTTCCGAATGCCTTGATTTTCGCAGCCATCTGTAAGTTAACTATGCTTATATATCATAAATGTTCTCTTAATTACTTTTCATTTTTTTTAAATATTGTTCATTTGATTTTACGGACTGATTAAATAGATTAAGCACCTGTAATATTTTAATACATGTGTACGCATTTATATTTTGTCAAAACAATGGATTACAACTAATCTGAATTGTCTATTCATGAGAAAACATTACCGAGGTTTTCATGAGATATTTTTCAAGGTTTAAACTTCAAAATCTATCCATCCTTGCGATACAATCGAGAGAGAGGGAAACAGGTTGGCGTTTGAAGGAATATACCACTGAATTGGATGTTGTACTTGATTAAATGTCATGGAAAAATAGTATCACTTCCGAAGCAATTCCAAAACAGTACGTACGTCAAAACTGTAACATCTGACGATTCTGTAATAAGGTTACATACATGGATAATATTTCACACCTTTCTTCAACTCTTTTCAAATGCATTAACGAGTTCTTGCGCATTCTTAGCAAATGTTCATCTGCTTCAAAATATGACGAATGAATGATTTTGAGAAAACAAAAGAGTGGAAAAATATTGTTTTTCGTAGTTCAGTAACAATTGATCATGTTCTCGTATGGAAGTTTTTTTGAAGGTCTGTGAGATTACTTGCATTTTCTAGTATGAATAAACTTGCGAAATTTATAAGTAAAAAGAAAGTTGATATAGTATAGTTTTTCTATTTTGTAGTAAGTAAATGAGAAATATGCAGTATATTTTGAGAGACTATACAACAAAAATAATGTTAAGAGAAAAAATATCACTGTTGAAAGAATTTATACAACAAGCAAGTTATCATCAATATTTATCCAAGTCGTTTATTCCTAAAAAAGTATTATAAAAATATGTGCACGAACGTTTTTGTAACGAGGTCATCAAAGGTTTCTCAACGCCTGAAAACAAGTAAATCGAAAAAAAATACTACAGGCGTATTGATTAACATGATTTTGTCATTATCACCGACAATCGATAATCAAGTAATGAATGTGTAAGCAATAACCTTTTTCGGACTTTACAATTGTGGCTTTCTAAAATTTGTACTGGCTCTTCGTATCTTTTAACTTTTATCTTGTCTAAAAGTATTCATTTTTAGAACGAATGTATGATGACTTTAAATCGTGGTGCAATTAAAAAATTGAAAAAATATATTTTCGTACGGTCTTGTTCGTACTTGCACAATATAGGACAGTAAAAAAAGCTACATGTATTTGGAACCTAGCTTAATACAATTTGCATTTACTTTATGAAATAGTAATCTTTAAATAAAATATCTAAATATAATTAATTGTTGAATAAATTTATTTACTGGAAAGCTAGAATTAAAATTAGTTGGTCCAACGTTCTACTGACTCAGCATTCAGACTAGATTATTCTGATTAATACATTATAATTTGATGAATGGGAAACTGGAATCTTTGAAATGTGTGTGTGTGTTGGGGGGGGGGGGGGGGTTAGTTCGTTTCTTATGAACATACAGGAACAATATTTTTTATCTCAGTGTCGTATATCTTTTTATCCCTAATTCTAATTTGATATGAATTAGTTTTTTCACCTTTTTTTCCTGAATGATTGAGGATCGCTTAAAAAGTATGTATCCCTCCGAAACATAAATATGTTTAAACAGGACGGGTACACTATCATTCATTTGGATACTAACGTTCCCGCTATGGCATGGTATTGGTTGCAAAAATTTGAAATTTTTTATTTAAATGCAATATTTCTTATTTAATTGGTATATTTCCTCATTTAAATGCAATATTTTTTTATTTGAATGGTATATTTTTTCATTTAAATGCAATATTTTTTATTCAAATGGTATAATTTTTCATTCAAATGGTATAATTTTTCATTCAAATGGTATAATTTTCATTCAAATGCAATAGTTTTTATTCAATTGGTATAAAATGTCATTTGAATGCAATATTTTTTATTCAATTGGTATAGTAGTTTTTTTTATTTATATGCAATAGTTGCATCATGGGAAATTCTTTGACGTCATAAGGTCAAATTTGCAACAACGTTTGTGATTGGTCTGAAATTGTTTGGATTTCTCCCCTTTCTTTCTAAACATGGGTGACCAAGAATTAAAAAACGCGTCAGAATATCGACCCTCTAACTAAATCTAACGTTCGTGCGAGTCCTGCACTGGCTGTTAAAATCTTGTGGTCATAACTAGTATTTCTATTGCAAAATTTCGATGGTCAAAACGTTCGGTCCACTTTTCAAAAACCGTTTCATTGTATATGGATTTATATGCAAGTATATCGTTTTTTTTTAAATAGATTAGACACCGTTGGTTTTCCCATTTGAATGGTTTTAAACTACTATTTTTTGGGGGCCCTTTATAGTTTGCTGTTCGGTTTGAGCCAAGGCTCCGTGTTGAAAAGCGTACGTTGACCTATAATGGCCTTTACATTTACAAATTATGACTTGGATGGAGAGTTGTCTCATCGGCACTCATACCACATCTTCTTATATCTATATACAACGTAAACCAGACGTTTCTCAGACTGTTTTCTTTTTTTAATAAATCCTTTGCCGCGCGTTGTGTACTGATTGATAACTCAGTCTGGGAGAACAAGATTTATTTCAGTACCATGCAGTTGTAATTAGGTTTGAGCAAAATTCCAGTAATTGCAAATACTCTGATGTCGGTGCTTTGTGTCTATTGTCTTAATGTTAGTTTTTTTGTGTGTCTCGTACCGATCTTTTGAGTTAATTTGCTGATTTGTGCAGGTTGTTATTTTACTGTACTGTTACACCACTGTCCCAGCTTCGGGGTGGGTTGCTCACAAACATGTTGTTGTACTGTAACACCGCTGTCCCAGATAATGGGGGGATTTGGATCCCGCTAACGTGTTTAACCCCGCCACATTCTGTATGTGATGGTCCCAAGTCAGGAGCCTGTAATTCAGTGGTTGCCATTTGTTGCTTTGTTATACATATTTGTGTTTCGTTCATTTTTTTGTACATTAGTTCGGCCGTTAGTTTTCTCGATTGAATTGTTTTACATTTTTGATTTCGGGGCCTTTTATAGCTGACTATGCGGTGTAGGCTTTGCTTATTGTCGAAGGCCATACGGTGACTTATAGCTGTTGATTTCTGTGTCATTTGATCTCTTGTGGAAAGTTGTCTCATTTGCAATCATACCACATCTTCGTTTTTATATCCACCCTGCCACATTCTTTATTTGCCTGTCCCAGGGATGCAGCCTGTAGTTTAGTGGTTGTCGTTGGTTCCTGTCTCGACTCATATTTGATATTTTGTAAATTGTTTTGTTATGTATAATTAGGCTGTTAGTTTTTTCGTTTGAATTGTTCACACTTTTCATGTCGGGCCTTTTATAGACGACTTTACAGTATCAGGTTTTTGTCATTGTTGAAGGCCTTACGATTGCCTACAAAAAGCATTTGTATACATGACGGCAAAAAGCTCTACAGAGCTTATGTTTGTAGTATTTCATGTAACCCGACTTAAAATAAATTTTTCTTATCTTATCTTATCTTATCTTATCTATAATTGCTTACATCCACTTCATATTTGAACTCCGGTTGATAGTTGTCTTATTAGCAATCATATTCCATCTCTTAATTTTTATATTATATACGTGACTTCTAAACTCGTGTTTTCCTGAACAAGCATGAAATCATTTCCACTGGGCGTTAAAATTAGCAACAATCAATCAATTTAAACTTGTGTTAAATAAGAGGAAAACCATTTGATATTTGTTTATTTGTTGGGGTGGTGGACAGAAGGATTTCATATATGAATATGGTTGCCTGGTAAGAGCTGAAAAATAGGCATGATTAGCGACAGATTGAAATGAATAATAATGCCCTCTCTTCCCTTCCCCATTCTTCATCTATAAATTTAAACTGACCACCACGGAATAGCCCGATAGTGTTGAAAGTAGCGTTAAACACCAATCAATCAAAATCCCTTCCCAAATATATCAAATAACCGTCCCTTAACTGTTATTGTCCGTGTAGTTCTTATATTTATCCAGCTTATCGTCCTACAGGGATGTCCTACTAAGGCTTTCATACCATAGAAACGTTTATAAAACAGCTCACATTCTAATATATCTGCATTCATAAATTTATTAATTTCATTTAGACTAAACGACGCCATGTTTGTTATGTGCCTCTGTCGTCAACCTATCAAAAAAGAAGAGGTGGAAGAGAGCCAGAAGATCTTCCCATTGCAAAAAAAAAAAAAACAGAAATGGACTTCTTCTGGCTCACTTCCGAAGAACAAAAAAAAACGCGCCCCATTGATATGTTTTAAAAACGCCTTGCCCCTACCCTTTTTTCCAAAAAAATGGCATTATTAAATATATAAACATATATATAATCATCAAAATTAAAATGCTATTGTATTTTTATAAGACCTGCTTTATTACATGACCTGGGACTAATGACATATATCTATAAGTCCTAGCATACATTAATTATTATAATATGAATATGTTTCTTGTTTTAATAACCACATATGATGCTATGCATGAGTCACCATTTATCAGGACATGAATTGGGGTTACATAGAGAGGATAAGGGACGACATAAGAAAATCAATGAAGGATAAAAAACTTTATATAAATCAAAAAACTATATGAATTAAGTTATTTTTATCCTACATTGAACTTTTGATGTCGTCCCTAATGTGCAAAAAAATAGATAAGGGGCGGGACCAAACCTATAGATAACATAAAAAAGAAATGATGAAATATACAGAATACGTTGATTGACTTTTGGTTGCCTTATGTCCAGTGGCAAATATGTCACGCATGTTTAGGACAAATATAATAGACATCAAAGGATAAAGAATAGAGTGAAATGGTAAAAACTAAAAGATATAGAATTATAGAAACAATCTTTGAAACCCCTACCCTCACACACACACCATAACCATTACTGCCAATACTCGCATATATACATCTCTATACAAATATCTAAATTTGAACCTAATTTTTATACCTTTTCTTCATTTGTGTTTACATTTATGGTTAGGTACAAAATATAAATCGCCATGTTTTACATTTAATATATTTTTCTATAATTTAATGATATTAGCTCTGCTTATTTATTGTTATTTCAAGTGAAACTGTTGGGTGTGATGATAAAAAGAATGTTTAAAACAAATTCCTTTTAAATTTTGTTGAAAGAAAGTTTAATTTTATGTATCGAAATGTGAAATAAGTGCTTATTTAAATCACCACTGGAAGGCCTCTCACAGACTGAGTGAGCGTAAAATCATTGTTATCGATAGACGATGACAAACAAGTTAAAGGTAAATGATTCGGTATTATTAAAAACATAATCATTACGGTTGTCCACACTGTTATGGGACTACCTCTATATGATGTTCGAATGTTACAGATTTTTCTTTAAAACTTTGATATCGTCGGCAGATTCGTGTCAGTTGAATTCATTCATAGTTGGTACTGGGATACAATTAACCACTCTTTATTGACAACTAAATGTCTTTAAGTGTATTTATGTTATTGGGTTGCAGATTTTTATTTCTAACTCTATTTATGATCACTGGAATTTATTTTTTAACTAGAGATGGTTTATTACTCTAATATTCATACATCAATAATGTTTACCATACATTTCCTTGTAGTGATGGTCATACAAATAGCATGGAATCCGTACAGAATTTGCATAGAAATATATTCAGAAAATTAGTAGATTAATGTTTAACTTGATGAAGCTAGATCATGCACAACGGAACAAAACAAGGAATGAAGACAGTAATCATTGTTTCAATCCCAAACGACCTGACGGAAAGTGAACCGATACGGCGATACGATACTATGTGAGGTATACATGAATTCATGCATACAAACTGATAATGAGTGTTAAGAATATAAAATTTTGGTTTGATATTTGGGCTTTTTCTTTTGTAGGTATAAAATATAATCAATTACACCTAAAACCCGACTGATATGTTTACTTAAAATAAAAAAGTAAAAAATTAAAAAAAAGCTATGATTATATGTTTTTGTTGAACAATTAATGTAGCTCCCTTATTTGTCACTTATCTTAAATTTACGTTTGGAATATAAACGATGCTAAGTAATGTAGAGTCTGAGAAGTAAGCATGACAATGATATCTCAACCTATAGGCTTCATTACACAAGAACCAGATCAGAAACATCTCATTATGGCCGTGGGAGAAACAGTAGAACACAATAGAATACATGTTACAATTTCCTCGCTTGTTAAAGCTAGTTTCAGAGGTTTGTCAGGTATAATTAAAACGTTTCAAAAATATACCTTCCTGGAATAACAAAAGTGCACACGCTGAAATGTCTCACCTGCTTTACTGACAATTGATTTTATGTAGATAGTTCTAAATAAAAAGTTTTACTACAAGTATCACATTAGCATAAACATGATCCAAGAAAATGAGGACTAGGTCAGATAAACCAAGCCGGAAATACATGTACACCTTACAATCATTCCATACACCGAATATAGTTGACCTATTGCTTATAGTATCTAAGAAACAAACTTAACCAGGAAAACTTAACATTGACCAATGAACCCTGAAAATGAGGCCAAGGTCAGATGCTCCCTGCCAGACAGACATATACACCTTACAATTATCCAATACGCAAAATATAGTTGACCTATTGCTTGTAGTTTAAGAAAAACCGATCAAAACACAAAACTTAATATTGAGCAATGAACCGTGAAAATGAGGTCAAAGTCAAATAAAACCTGCCAGACTGACATGTACATCGTAAAATATTTCCATACACCAAATATAGACCAAAACACAAAAACTCTGCTTTTTTCCACTGAACCATGAAAATAAGGTCAAGATCAGATGACACCTGCCAGTTGGACATATACACTTTACAATCCTTCCATACACCAAATATAGTAGCTCTATTTCATATATAGTATCTGAGATATGGACTTGACCACGAAAACTTAACCTTGTTCACTTATCCATGAGATGAGGTCGAGGTCAAGTGAAAACTGTCCGACAGACACGAAGACCTTGCAAGGTACGCACATATTAAATATAGTTATCCTATTACTCATAATAAGAGAGAAATTAACATTACAAAATCTCTTAATTTTTTAGTCAAGCAGTCACTGAACCATGAAAATGAGGTCAAGGTAAATAGACTTATGACAGAGGAAACTTCATTTCATAAGGCATCTATATACAAAGTATGAAGCATCCAGGTCTTCTACCTTCGGACATATTAAGCTTTTAAGAAGTTAGTTAACGCCGCCGCCGGATCACTATCCCTTTGTCTCGCTTTCTGCGACAGAAGTCGCAGGCTCAACAAAAATAGTTGATCACTATCAATTATAAAATTTAATGAATTAGATTCAAAGCTTTGTAAATATTTGTATGTAGTACAAATGCCAATGAACTGACTGACCATTGTTTCAACAGATGTATAGTTTCGGTCCTGTAATAAAAAATGAAGCGATTTTTTCCCTAAAAAGTCTTTCTACCCATCGGTATATGACTGCAAAACAAAATTACTTTCCAAATATGCGACGGATTTTGTTTTTATAATCATGTAAATTACTTTTCAATGCCTTTGAAGTTTCCATTCTAAAGGTTTTCTTTTTGGTCTTAATTAATGGACAACATATTTGTTTGACGGAAAAGTAAGGACAATATACATAATCCTGACTAAGAATCCCTACACGCGCTTGGAGAAAAAACCCAGAATAAACAGTGCATGTGTTCCAACGATTAATGTTCATTCCGTTGGACGTTTATCGTATGGTCCTATTTGTAGGCTAATTTATGTTCGCAAATGAAGCAGAAGTTATACGCAACTTTTGAAAAACCAGAGACAAATTAAACGAATTACTTTTGCACTTTAATATATTGAGATTGAGAATGTACTTTAATTTTTATCATCTTGTATTTTAATGCAGTTTTATATGAATACATTTATATTTGAATTGATTTTTTTATATCAAAAAAAATTAAACAATTATCTATGACAAATGCAATGATTTAGATTTTTCCTAACTTCTTAAGACGTAACCTATCATCTGACTAAGCCTAAGTTGTTAACATAATTTATACCGTTTAATCGATATGTTAAGGAATGCTTTCATTATAGTTTATGGAGGAATACATGTGTATTCTTACTTCAACAGTTTCTCCAATTGAGGGACTTACGCCATCGCATATCGCAAATAGTACCTCGCCGTTGATAAATTTGGAAATATTAAGAGTGAAGGTTCCAACTCCCTTAGGCAAATTGTTTTTCTTTTCCTATTATAGGATCGATACCACTGTTGGTGCACTTTGAGTCCACGTGGGTATTGTCATCTCAAGTAGTACGGACATGATTTATAGCATATTTTTCTTAAATTTTTGGTCGATAAATTAAAAAATTACTATGAAACTATAAGGTTCCAACTCCCTCAGGCTCAGATAAAGTTGGCTATTCATTTTAGGGCCCTTTTGTTTAAACAGCTCATGTTTAGGTAAATTCAGAAAAAGCGCTTCGGACACACCAAATTCAAGTGTTATTTTCATTGTCCAACACGAAATGGTTGGTTGTTACGTGATATGACTCATCAATGTATTTTAACGACAGGTGTATCTAGCCGAGCAGGAAGTGATTATCCATCTGGAACACATGACTGCACCTCCGGTTATTTGGTGGGTTTCGTGTTGCTCTATCTTTTTGTGTGTACTATTCAGTTTTAGACTGTTGTTTGTAGTTTTGCGTTTTTCTTTTTTGTCTGAATGGTTTTGTTTCGACTAACGAATTGTTGTTTTATTGGATCTTTTAAGAGTCCAGGAGTCTCAACCTTCTAGAAAGATATCAACGCTAACATAGAGTCCATGTGTCCACAGTTGGCTACCTTACATTATTCGAAGTTTGGACATATTTGAGACTGCGACACTTTCTATTTCATACGAATTTGAGATCGACTGTCTAATGGTGCATACATATCAAGATATGCTTATCATGTCAACGCATCTGATGTTTAGAGATTATTTCATATTTGTTTGGTTGTGCTTCGACTTTTGCCCAGGTTTATTATGTATAAAATGTAATAAATATATAAAATAAAGTATTGGTTCTTTATTATGAAACAATGTTGAAATTTTAGTTTACAATGAGGAATACTGAGGAATGATGAAAAGGAAAGAAAAGTCAAATATGATTTTTGCTGTTTCATGAGAAGAGGGACTTAGAATTTATATACTCTACAGTATATCTGGAAAATTTTAGTATCCACATCTATATACCGCCCTTAGAGTATGCAGTTTCAAAGTACCATTGAATACCAGTTTTGATTGTTGATGAAATAGATAATGATTTGAAAAAAGGTGTCGTTTGGTATTTGGTAGACACTGCAATATGACGGTGTTTGTAATGAAACTTATTCATTACAGAGAAGGAAGATCAAGTTCCTCATTTTAAGCTGAACTGTCATGATATAATTATCTTAAATTGATTAGAAACAACCATGATAAATTGATCACCGTACAATGACCAATAATTGTTTTTATCTTTGTAATGTGGATAGTTGTCTTATTGGCAATCATACCACATCTCCATATTTTTATATTATTCAAATGTCGGTCATGTAAAAAAAATGGAAGCTATAAAAAAAAGACAATCTCCATTACTGTTATCAAATTTTATTTTATTATTAAGGTTCTGCGTTGTTTTTTTTCATATTTATACAATTAAAAAATTGTATAAAACCAACTACAAAACATTAACGTTTGTATGTTTTTGTTTGTTTCCACATCCATTCATTCGAATAATCGCAGAAAAATTCCATAAAGATATTTGATTCATTTTCGATCGGTGTAAAATCTTCATTAAATTCCCAAATCGATAATACACCATCCCCGAAGTCGTTTCCGTACATCAACGGGCTCTGTTGAGTGACTCTAATAGCTCCGGAACATGGAACATAATAAAGTTTATCTCCAACCCATTGGCGACATCTTGGCTTACAGAGTCGTCCACAGGCATCTGACGCAGTTATTAATGCTTCTGATGGCGTATAAGATGTAGGTTTTTCAACAGCGATGTACCCGATATGAGAGGATATAGGAAGTCTGTTGTCAACAAATACGTAATCAGTGTATGCACCGAAGTAACTTAATCCAGTAGACTTCAGTCTTACTTTGAATGCACCGGATTCGTCTTCTTGGCAATCATAGTATGTAGCTGGATTACCTGGGTGAACAAGATTTTTTAAATGATTATACTTGTGCTCATCATACATATCATACCTGTGCTTGTGTCCGTTTATTTCAGACTGTGAAGTAAAATGGGCCTCTTTTGGACGTAAATGAACAACTTTAATTGGTATAAAGGCCCATCTTTTCACGTCAGCTTTGGAACAACCTGCTACAAAGTTATTTTGTATTGGCTTACCCATACAAGGTTCATGTTCTTGAGGAAAGTAGATATTTGTTATTTCGGTTGATTGAATTACGATAGATACACTGTTTTTAATAGTAGTTTGATGGATATTAGTTGTGTCTCTTTTTGTCCTCCTTCCTTCTTGATGGTCATCTAAATTCAGCTTGACTTTTCCACCTTGTGCGGCTTTTAAATAAGGCGCTACACTACTTCTAAATATTCTATCGACAGCAGTACATCTAAAGGATCCATCTATGCGTCGGCATTGCAAATCATGTGATCCACAATAAAGATTATGTTGTGAACAAGTTGGTGACATTTGATATTGGGACATGGATGCAAGCTGCTGACCATATCCATCAAGGTTTGTCGGAATACGTCCAAGAAAATCTACATAAGGCATATTTTCCATTGGGACTTCTGCCTCCTGTACTCTTTTGTTAGGTTTAAAAGGATATGCAATATTGTACCCATGGGTATATCTCCACAATTCCCAAGTATAATCTATATAAGCATGTTGAAACCAGAAAACACAATCCCATGGTGCTAATTCCAGTAAGGACATTGTACCGCCTATATAATTGTGAACATTGCCATGAAGCGATTCCATAGTGTCGTAATTAGAATCTTCAACTAAATCGTCAATGGTTTGTTTATTCAATACATACGTTAAATTAGTACGTGTGAACAATGCGCCACCATTTCCACCATTTCTTATGATTTTATTACCCCTTAGATCCCTAAATCCACCACAAATACCAGTGTTGACGAATCCGTTAATTTCTCCAAGGTATTCATTATTCCAAAGTATAGAATTTTCAGGTTTATCCATATTAGACTCGACAGTAGTGTCCCAATACGGGAGTGAAACTTCTGGATCAAAACTCTGTAAAATTCGTTCTAATCTGAAAAAAGAAATTAAAAAAAAAGGTGCTTCATTGCAAAAGGTCGAATTTTCATGTGTTTATTGTTACAAATTCCAAAAATTACGCAAAATATTATTTAAGTCACTCTAGAATTCCTACTTTTCTCCATGATGATTTATACATCTTGATTTTATCCAGAATCTGTTCCTCTAGTATAATGCAAAAGGAGGCGGAAGAAACCGAATTTCAAAGAGAAGAGAAACTGACAACACCATGACATAAAACGAAAGATGGAAAAAGATAAACAAGTCCAATAAACACTTTATAGAACTTGAAGTTAAATCCTTAGCAGGAACCACACCAAAAACTTGGGTTGATCTCAAGTGATTCGGAAAGGTAAGCAAATACTGTGGATCAAATCTTAATTAAATAGCTATGTGGTTTAATTTAAGATATTGGACAAGAGGTGTAATTGCTATCAAATATTACACTTGTATATCTATGGATACAACATGTTGACCTCTATAGATGTCTTTGAATTTTTTCTTTGTTGATGGTTTGCTGTCTCATTGAGGTATTTCCAATATTTGCTTTATTAGTCAACGTAATAGTAAAAATAGAAAATAACAAATACATTGATATACAGTAGGGTACAAAATTCGAACCCTAAACCGCCAAAACAAAGCAAGTACTTCCCAAATCAGCTTATAGAACATGAAAATTACATTGCAGACACAAGTAGGAAGTAAAACACAGAACAAAACATAAAAACGATATATTCATAGTATTGCAGGTAATTAAATGTGTAAGGTAAAGCTAGTGTTTTACTTAAATGCGCTATCAGTCCAACTATCGAAAAACTAAGATTTGAAGACGCTTGGATTTGACCACGTGTACAGAAAATATAAATAAAATACGGGATTTTCTTTTTTGTCTTTGAACTTTGTTTGGTGGGTCTGTTCAACAAGTCTTTAAACTTACTCCTTAATGTCGCATGCTTAGAAAGATCTAGAAAGTATAGAATAATTTTAGACGAACATGATTACACCAAACCTTCAAGCGAATTATTTCACGAATGTAACATTGTGCCGATTACACAAAGAATACATTATCATAAATCATTACTAATGTATAAGGCAAAACATGGCTTAGCTCCAGAATATATGTCCAGTCTTATTGTATCAGCTTCTGCAAACCAAAAATACAATACGAGATTTTCGTCCTCAGATAATTTTATAATTCCAAAACCAAATACAGAGTTGTATAAGTCTAGTTTCTCGTACAATGGACCAAAAGTATGGAATGCTCTTCCTGATTCAATTAAAAAATCAAACACAGTATTAGAATTTAAACATAACTACAAATCTATGTACTTTTAACATTACCATGATATTTGTACTGTAATGCCATATATAATAATTGTTTATTGTATTTAAATTGTATTACATCTTTATTTATCATTATTATTGAATATGTATTGTTTATTTTTAATGTAATTATTATTGTATTAAGAGAGCCTTATTGAAAATTGGTGTAATCCAAATGAGTTACTCTCTCTAAATAAAGATATTATTATTATTATTATTATTATTATTATTATTATTATTATTATTATTAAAGTATGCAGCAGATACTAATTTTCAAGTCTTTGGTTTGGACCGGCCGGGTATTGAATCCTTGATCTCCCGAACAGATGCGGTGAAAAACCAAAAAATACATCTAGCTAGGCTGAAATATTATGACTGTAGAATACAAGAGGCTTGAGTGTTCTTTCCGTTTTTATATTCCTCATAATTTACTTATTAAGATACCGATACTAGTGCACGCGAAACGTTTATTTTGTACTTTTGTATACTTATAACGTTATATTCTTTTTACTTCTTTTCTTAATCTCGAGTTAAAAACTTAATTTTGTCGTATGACATTTTTTCATTTGCAGTACACTCCAAGATATACAGTTAAAAGCACAGTGTATATATCAATGAAAGCATTTGTCTTATGTTTCTTCTTACGCTTGATGACAGCTCTTACAGCATGTTTTCTTATATTTTCTCGAGCTCAAGCTCTTGCTTGAGAGTTGTAAGAGTTTTCATCAAGCGATCACAAAATGAAAAAAATTATCCTTATTTCAGATATCAACCAGGAAACATGAATGATGCTGCTGATAATTGTTTCAACAAGAATGTCTAAAAATAAAGAGCTATGCATATTTACATCAGTAATAAAAATCTGTAATAACCAGGAAAGGCAGGTCCGCTCTGTGCAGCATTTCTGCTGTTATCGTTGTGAAATCTAACAAGCCAACCAAAATACTGAAAATAAAAATTCGTACTTTTTATCTATTGTAAACGTGTCAGATGTATCAATATAGAAAACATAGAATTGTTTGCTTGATTATCCAAATCGTCAGGCACACACACTTCATTATTATTTTGGAAAGGCAAATCAACACAAGACTTGACAGGAAAGGTATCAAATAAAATGTCGGAAACCCGAATGATCAAAAACCAAACAGATTCCTATTCTAAATGATATTTGAAAATCTCTAAAATATACCAAGACTTTTTACTACTAGACTAAAGCAGTACATTGTCGAAAATATATTACTTTGACTGTTTCTCTAAACATAGACAATATAAAAAAAATATCTACTTAGTCAGAAAGACATTTTCATTGATTTTCCAAACATTTCAGCAGCATTCATGATAGTTTGTGCAATTCATGCAGCTCTGGTGCCTGTAAGAAGGACGTATTGTCCCTTTCCGACATCTTGTTTTTCTCTCATTTTACTCGGAACCTCTCTAATGCGTAACAAACGTTTAGTAGAAAGTATAAAATTGAGAATGGAAATGGGGAATGTGTCAAAGAGACAACAACCCGACCATAGAACAGACAACAGCAGAAGGTCACCAACAGGTCTTCAATGCAGCGAGAAATTCCCGCACCCGGAGGCGTCCTTCAGCTTGCCCCTAAACAAATATATATACTAGTTCAGTGATAATGAACGCCATACTAAACTCCAAATTGAACACAAGAAACTAAAATTAAAAATAATACAAGACTAACAAAGGCTAGAATGCTACATTGTATATCTGTCTAGATGCAATATTTTTATCTCATAGGAAATTCTCTACGTTTTATGTACATTTATAAGAAGACCATTAAAATATCGGCAAATATTGCATGTTTATCTTACAAAGAAATGTATATAAAATGTTTGATACTATATCATAAATATATATTTTCAAAGGTTAAATCTATAAAACGATTGAGGATTGGTTACCTCTTAATATCAACCAGAGTGGTTTTATTTAAATATGACAAACGAGCCTTTGGCGAGTTTGTTATTATTAGTATTAAAATTCAATTACGAGAATAGCAAGAACAATTACATGATAAATGTTGTCTATTACTTACCCCACTTTTGTAGGCTTTTGACCAGGCTCTTTGTAATCGTAGTCTTTCCCCACGTGTTAACATTCTAATTTCTTTACGAAAAAGAACACGCCCTGCTTGTCGCTTTTTTTGCTTTTCTGTTATTTCTTCATGAAGAAGTTTTCCGAAATAGTTACTTATATCCGATACAGTTATATTATCGTTTGGGTGGTCACATTTTTGCAAGTTCGGTCCTTCGTTCCACAAAAATCTCGTAATACAATTATTACAGACTGACTCACTGGGCGATTTAGTAACGTCTTGGTATTTACTCTTCATCATCAAACAATCTTTTAAAGATGGCGGAAGTTGTATTTCTTCTATTAAACATCTTCCTAAACCGGCAAAAGACAGTAGAAGCCAAATATGCAAACACAGCATGGTTAAACCTGAAAAATATAATGATGTAATATAACAGATCTAACTGATATTCTCGTCATCAAATTTCTAATAACGTACGAACAGTCTTGTGTAAAATTAAATACTAAAAATAAAAGAGAAGATAGTATCTTCCTAATTCCGTTATGCAATCCCGTTTGTTTGACTTCTATGACATAAGTCATCTGACTTAATCGTTGGTAAAAATATCTTTTTATTTTAAACTGACGTTTGCAGATTTACAAACAAAATCGATTTTATGTTCTTCGAATTCGCATGCAGCAAATTATAGGGAAAAAAAAACAACATTTTTAGCGAGCAGCTAATAATAATTTCGAATTTGCACTTTTCATTTTTGTCTTAAATCATAAAAATCATTCGCTGCTTTAAAATTTGAAATATAAATGATATTTTAGTTCTCCTTAATAGGAAAGTTTTGTCTTCTTTTTTTTTTTAATATCTTTCATAATTCGTTTTTCGTTTTGTCAAATATCAAATCAAAATTTCGCTTACACCACTTTTTATCTCCCCTACGTTCCAAAGAACTATGTTCGTGTTGACTATTGATATTTAAAGGAATGTGATCTTCGTGAAGCGCGTGTAATTTTTGTTCAATTCACTCATACTTATATGATTCAGACACCTATCCAAGTATGTTTTATTTTATAAGTAACAGTTGGATTTTTTCATTATATTATAATATATTATAAGGTGACTTCTCATTGTTATTAGGCGCTATATTATATTATGATGTAAGTTAAACGAAATCCATATTATTCACACAACAACGGAACCCCTTGAAAGTAATAAAGTATAATTAAGCTACTATAATGTAGGTGTTCATACATAAGAAAACATTAATGAGCCATTTCGCGTTGTTTTATTTTTTGCGTTTTCGACATTTCGTCTAAGCGACGGAAAAAACGCAAAAACGCGAAATGATTTCACTTCTCGTTTTCGCTCTTTCGACATCGCGTTTTCGGCTTTGCATTTTAGCTTTTTCAACTTCTTTCACCATACTTTCCTAATTGTGTGGCTAAAAAAATATTAGCTTGAAAGAGTTCTAAATGGGGAACACGTTACGTAGAGGAGAATAAAGCATATACGGAAGACCAGATTCCAAGTTGATAAAACTAATGTAGGGGTTTTCGAAACCCGGTTGGTGAAAATATTGCTATAGGATAGCGTCGGATACACTACTGGATAAGCGGTGATCGTCCAAATTGATACATTCTTCATTACGCAATTTCTTTGCTTCATCTGCATTATACACGATTCGTTTTATTTACATAATTTCCTATGTATGATGTTTTATAATATATTCATAGACAATATTACATAATATACGAAATGAGATATAAATGATGCATTTACTCAGTACAGAATGATATATATTTATTATTAATAAGGAATTTGTCAAAATATCTGATATATAATTTAGAAAACTACTGGCCTTGAACGTGTACATAAAAAGGCAAAAGAAACAAGCCACAAGTATATAGCGTCGACAATGCATGTTACCCGAAGAACACTGATAATTTAAAGAACCAATGTATGTATAACCTTCGCACTGTACTTTAGGTGACGATGAAGTCCAGGGTATCAATGGAATTCTACCTGAAACAATTGAATGCATTAATTAAAAGAAGGTTAAGGTATTTCAGACACAACAATGTCTCGTGTCAGTCTAATCAATGAGATTTGAATATAACCGCATTGGTCTGATGATTACATTTTGGTTTAAACTATTTTATTTTATGTATTCCTTTCACGGGCTCTAATTAGTGACCCTCAGAACGAATGGCGCTCATCTTTGCTCCATTAGCCTGTTGCCCGTAATGTCGCACTTTGTGTCATGTTACTCCTAATTATTTCACTGAAACAAAAATAAAAGCACACAAAAAGGACAAATAAAACCGAAAAATTCTTAAGAAATAAAATTGTTATTTTGTGTTGTGTGTTGAAATTTAAGTACATTTATAACTTATATATTATTAACTATGACATTTACAAATACAATTAATCTATGTAGTCTCAATGTTAACGGAGTTAGTTCTAGGGAAGATAGAAATAGGGTTATAGAATGGGTTACGGCTCAAAAAAGCGTTACAAGTTATTTTTACAAGGAACACATTTTGATGAGTACTAATCTTCCGTCACTATCAATAAATTTATTGATTAGTTCGTAGCTAAGTGATTTCTTAATAAAATAGCTACATCCCTACTAGCCGTAGTACCATGACTACAAACAGTATCAAATTTAAGCCAGGGGTAACAGAAAGGGGCCATGGGTATTGGAAAATAAATAATTCAGTTTTGCAAGATAAAGCTTAACAAGAACTGATCAATAATTTGATAGATAAATATGTTTTCGAAAAGGAAACATAAGATTGTAAAGGCGAAAGGAGCTCAAGTGAGATCTAGAGAAAATCGATAAGTAAGTTAAAGGGAGCTAATGGGGAAATAATTTCCGATCAAGAGAAACTTCTAAACAAAATAAAAGATTATTATGAAAATTTGTATAATAAAAAAAGTTTAAACAAAGATTAAACAGAAAAATATATCAGTGATACAAAATTAGAAAATAAAGTTGATGAAAGTGATAAACTTATATGCGATGGGAAAATTACAGTGGAGGAATGCACACAAGGCATCTATAAAATGAAATTAAATAAATCTCCATGTCTTGATGGACTTACGGTAGAATCTTATAGATTTTTTTGGAATAAACTTAAATTACTACTGGTAAACGTCTTAAATACCGGATTCGATAGAAACAGTCTTTCATATTCACAACTTACTAGTATTAACTTTGATATTCAACAAGAGGGACCCTTTACTTTTGGAAAACTATCGTCCAATATCTCTTCTAAATATAGATTTTAAAATTTTGTTCTTGCTCAACGTTTAAAACATGTACTTGCAAAAATTATAAATGAGGATCAAACCGGTTATGTTAAAAATAGATTAATCGGGTTTAATCTAAGACAAATTTAAGACGTTATAGACTACTCAGAAACCTATAAAATTGAGAGGGCAATTGTTTTTATAGATTTTACGAAAGCATTTGATTCGTAAGAATGGGATTTCATGCTTGGAACTTTTATCATTTTGGTTTAAATGAATCATTTATTAAATGGGTTAAAACTATGTATACAGACGTTTAAACATGTGTCATGAATAATGGGTGGGTATCAGAAAAATTCAAAAATTCACGGGGAATCCGACAAGGATGTCCTTTATCAGCTTTATTGTTTGTTTTGGCTGTTGAAATTATGGCTCTAAAATTGAGAAATAGCAACGAAGTAAAAGGAATCACTGTTAAATTAGATGGGAGAAGTCACAGCATTAAGATTTTGCAATAAGCAGATGACACAACATTAATTTGTAAAGATAGAAACGATGTAATATCTGCAATGAATGTGATAGAAATTTTTGGCTCGTTTTCAGGTTTATTGATAAATAGAAATAAAACGGAATGATTATGGATTTGGAAATTGAAATCATATAAAGATAAAATTGCCGGGATTAATTACAGAGATAATGAAACCTATCAAGCTTTAGGGGTGTTTTTTGGGCGTGATAAAGAGGAATGCAAAAAATTAAATTGGCATTATAGAATTGAAAAATGATAAAAATGTTCAAGACATGAGAAAAAAGAAATCTTTCAATTTTAGGGAAAATACTAATTATAAAAGCATTAATCTTGCTTTTATTTACATTCTTGGGAAGCGTTTGCTTAATTTCTGAAAGTTATCTTAAGAACGAGAAACACGAAATTTAAATATATTTGGGATGGGAAGCCTGACAAAGAAAAAAGAAACCTGATAATAAGTCCATATGAAATGGTCGATTTTAAAAGTTATTTTATGTCGCTAAAAGCATCATGGATATATAGACTTGTTAATGGTAAACTTGCCAACTAAAAGCTTATACCTTTTGAATATCTAAAGGTGTCTAATAATATTTTGTTTATATTCAACATAAATTTAGATGATATAAAACATTTCAAATATTTGAAATGTGTTCCAGAATTTACATAGAAGTAATAAAGTCCTGGATTTTAACGGGGGTGGGCAAACAAAACAACCAGTTACATTTGTTGATATAAGAAAACAAATAATAAGGGGGAATAAATTTATAACATTTCATAATAAACCAATTATCTTTGAAAACTGGATTAAGAGTGATATAATATACTTAAATGACATTCTGGATGGTACTATGTCATTATCAGAAAACTATATTTTAAACTAATTGAAGTGTAAGGTAAACTGGATTGCTGAATTTCATAGATTGAAACAATCTATTCCACAAGATTGGATTCACATAGTTAAAAAAGAAAATTCTGTTAAAAGTACAGTAAATGTCCAGATAAATAAGATCACATGGAAAGATCGTTATTTTGAGACTACGTGTTTTTCAAATAAAATGTTATATAATTATTCACTTGTGAGCAATAAAAAAGAATCGCCAATAGGGATAAACAGGTGGCTTAAAGTTCTACCAATGCAAGAAGCTCCAAATATGAATTCACTGTATAACTTTATTTTTAAATATTTAACTGAAAATAAATTAAAAATCTTCAGATGGAAATTATTACAGTTTCTTGTTCCAACAAAAAAGCTTTTATTACAATTTGCTTTAGTCTAGAATTTTAGTTTATTGAAAGACCTTTTGTCTGATTTTAAAAATATACCTTAAATACATTAGGGCACCGGCTATTAAAGAGAAAAAAGACGTTTAATTCATTGTAATTGTTATTGAATTTGTACTTCCCCGAAAAAAATATGAAGTCCGATATCGTAGTAAAATTGCCTAGATACTATAGATATTACACAAAACAGAATGACAGGCCAAAAGTATACATACAGAATGAATGTTGTTTTGTTATCACTGATAAAAAAAACCATTCAAAATGTAAAAATTATATTCATTCAGTGCATATCTTTGTGAAAAGGGAAAGTAAAAGAATTTTCCTCTGAAATTATTTTACGACAGTTCCACTTTAATAAAGTCTTTCTAATTTTACTAAAATTCACAGTATGACAGCTCCATTACGATGAGGTTCTTGTCCCACATCTCTCGTTGTCATATACATTGAAAACTGTATGTATTTATACACGGATCTTAAAGCTGTTATCCTAGTGCTAGCAAGTTAAATGTTTGGTTGGCTTGCTTGCTTTGTTTGTATAAATGTTTGCTCAAGCATTGATATTGAGATTGAAATCTGCAATCAATAGATAGGCGGGGCTTCAACTTGTATGCATTGCTTAACTTCCAATAACATTTATAAGTGTAATGTATACAAGCTGAAGCCCCGCCTATCTATTGATAGCAGATGTCAATCTTAATTACAATGCTTGAGCACACATTTATACAAACAAAGCAAGCAAGTCAATCAAACCTTTAACTTGCTAGCATTAGGATAACAGCTTTAAATGTTCATTTTACATGTAATCGTTTAAAAAACTTTAATTCAAACGGGTAATTTTAGCTTCAAGTTTTATCTGTCAAATTGCAGGTTGAAATTCTACAACAAACTAAATAAGTTTTTAAAATGAACGTGCAAATGACAGGGTGTGTTCATGTGAGAGCTCAAGTCTTGTATTACTATCAAATATCTCCCATCACCATCAACAGT